GTGTCAGTAACCAACTAGACGAACTTGATACCTGCAACTCGACACGGCCGCCACAACCTTTCCTGCCGATTTGTACCTTGTTGCCCCTTTTTCTACAGTACTCCCTCGCCTGTTCTAACTTACACTGTCTGCTAAATTACGCTCTCCTGTGTCTCATATGCATAAATCCACGTTCTATGTATTCCATAACTTCGTACAGTGCACTGTCCACTCATGGTTGTCGGCGCTGGCGCTAGCGCTGCATCCGTCGCCGCCGCACATCTGGGCTCCACGAGGGGGTGTTGTTCCCCCGCGTGCGTGTTGTTGTTGGCGGCATCCATATTCGGCTGTGTTGGGTCGTATTCGTATCAGACCGTTGTCGTACTCGTATCAGACCGTTGTCCTACTCGTATCAGACCGTTGTCCTACTCGTATCAGACCGTTGTCGTACTCGTATCATCAGTATTGGGCCGTATTGGTATGCTTACCATCCGCAAGTTCCTTCTTGGCTGCCTCAATTATCTTCCTTGCTGCTTCCTTTATTTCGTCCTCTGCTGTCTTCACTTTGTCAATTATCTTTGTTACTTGTGTTTCCATCTCATTCTGTGCTTTCTCTATCTTCTCCTTCCCTTCTTCGGTCAAACGGTCGTTGATACTGTTCCAATGTGTGTCCCCGTCCTTAATAGGGTTGTCCCCGGGGTCCAGCTCATTAATATACTGGTCCCAGTTCTTAGTACACGGCCATGCGTGGTGCAGTTGCTGTATTTCTGCCGTTATTTGTCCTTCCTGCATGAGCCACTCTACTACGTTCCAATTTATGGCTTTCGATAGCCTCTCATGGCCCTTGTACCCACATGCAGTACACGTGCCGTCTATAACGGGACCTTTGATTTCTCCCACTCCATCTTGCCCGGAGCTGTTCATTTTCGTGAATGCTATGCGTGAATACTCTACACCTCTTATCCACTGATTCTGTCCCGGACAATATTTGGTCTGCAGTAAGTGTCCAAATGTATTTGCTACTTCGCACCTTAACATATTCTCTTCTTCTGGGTCCATTTGCTGCGTGTCGTCCGTGTTCGTCTTAGTCCCAGGCATATCCCACCTGTTTGCGAAGGCCCATGCAACACTCATAACTCTGCACCGTACGACATCTGCTACTGTTTGTCCCTTGTAATAATGCCGCTGGTCCTTTACATCATCCCAACCACTATTATCACAGTTTGCGCCATACTCAGCCGCTAGGTCTGTGTGTTCATCCATATATTTCTTAAAATTTTCCAACACTGTCTTCCACTTGTTCCATTCATTATCCTACGTGTTGCACATGGACATGAAAAAAGTCCTCATGAGCACGTGTTAACTATATTATTCGGCGTTAATGCATGTACACCGTGACATATATGCATGTAAGCGTATGAATAAATTCCTGTGTGTTCCAGTCCGGCGTCCGCGTCATGTCTCCGCTCGCTGTGTAATTTAACTTACATCACGTGGGGTCACCACGTACAGGGCGTGAGGCAGCCGCTGCCGTGCTCTGTCTGCATCACACTCCACTACATTGGCCTTGGTCCCGTTCTCGCCTGCGGCAGCACCCTGACCAGCCTTACCACCACCACCACCAGGTGGTGCCATGCGCCGGGACTGCGTCTTCGTTGCCGTCTTCGTTTTCGCTGGTTTCGACTTCGCTACTGGTTTGGCAGCCGTGGAGGGCTTGCCGTGGACCGGCCGCTTTGGTCGACGCGTTTGCTCGGAGAGACAATCTCTCCTCCTTCTTACACTCGGACAATCCTGCGTCGAATCCTTCTTACACGCGGCCGCGTTGCTCGACGCGTTTGCTCGGAGAGATAATCTCCTCCTTCTTACACTCGGCACAATGCTTACTCGGCTACTTCGTTGAATCGTTCCTACACTCGGCTACTTCGTCGACTCCGTCTTACACTCGCACCGACCGTGTGCTCGGACAAAATGCTTACTAGGACGCGGCAACGACGGCAGGACGCAGAAGGACGAATTGATGTGGTTGTTATACTGCGGGGTTTTAGGTGTACGCACACAGAGACACTGCGTGAAGGCGTTTAGTGGAGAAAGGGGGCGGATGCTGTATATTCATGTCGCGTTGTGTGTGTAGGTAGTGTAGTAGTACTACTCTTTTTTTTCCTTCTTTTTAGTCCTTTTTTTTTTGTTTTTTCATCTTTTGTTTCTCTTTTATTGTCCTGTCTTTATTGTTTTTTTTTTTATTTTTTGTTGTTCAGTTCTCCATATATGCATTCTCTTTTTTTTTTCTTACTTCTAAGAGGGGATCTGGGGTGTATTTATTGGCAGTTGTGCCCTGTAATAGCATTTACGGGCCCGACATTTGCAAGTTTGTTATAACAGTGGCATTGTGGACCAATTTTTATTGTTTCAAGTGTAACGTACACATGAATTCTGTACAGCACTATGAGTACATTTCACGGCACTCTAATTACTGATTTAGGATTGACATATACTTCACATGGCACTTACTACGATAGACAAGGGAACGGTGGAATACTATTATACAGCATTATTGAGGAAGTATCTAGAAGACAGAAATGCTTGGGCAGACGGGCAATTCGATGTAAGTTGACGCAACATAACGGAACAGGTGCAGCACAGGGACAACAGTGTATGCATCCATGTAATGAGCACGGTATGCACACACACGAACAACAAACACGTACACATACAAGGACATATATATTTTTTTCCTGTCCTTAGACTTTAATATGGAAAGATATGAAAAGGGTTTTTGAAGGGTTCAAGGAATATATGAAGGCACAGTCGCCGGCAATAACAGCCATGTGTCACACCAACCCGGCACGTGCCGAGAGCGAAAATGCGGACGCCGCGGATATGGTTGTGTGCGAGTATATATTAAAGGCTTTGCATTATCAGCATGGTTATTTTACTCAGGCTGAAGATATAAAAGTGCATGGGCACGACAAGGACGGTAGGGAGCTGAAGGCATGTATGAGATCTATAATGGGAGCTATGTATATGAAGAAAGTATATGATAAAAAATGTGTAAGGACGGAAGGACTTCAATATGCGATGGACGCATGGCACACCTTCAGACCAACCTTTGATAGTGGGCGTAGTGTAAGTAAGTGCAATATAATAAATTGGGATAACATGAGTATGGGGACAACGAACGTAGGCCACAAAGTTAGAGATTGGATAGGAGACACAGCGGACATACTGGACACTATATGGAAGGGTGTGCAGGATGCAGGGTGTCTCAGCCAGAAAGCATTGAACGATACCGGGACAGGCCAGCAAGACCGAACAAGTAGTCCAGATGTCACTGTAAAGTCAGCAGTGCAGGAAGTAGTTCAGGAGCAACAGGACAGCGTGCACAAGGTAACAGAGAAACTTAAGGATGAGCACGCACGGAACAAGCAGGGTAGAGCCCCGGCACCACAGGGTACACATTCTCACAGAACACCAGCGGACAAGGCACAACCGCCGGCAACCACACCACCCGCCCCTGAACACCCAGTAGCTACAGCAACGCCGGAAACCACACCACCAACGGCACCGCCCGTTGAGACGCAACCCGCAGGTAAGATCGATGGGACAAAGCACGCATGCGCCCACATACATATCATGCGGCCCGTACGACACGGCTACGACCGAATACGGATCATACTGCCGCATACTAACAAGGCCGGCACCACAACAACGCACACGCGGGGGGCACAGCACAACAGCACAGGGCGCCCACTTCGCTGCCTCACGTAGTGTGAGCGGCGACCACAGCGGCGGCCACGACGGCGATAGCGGTAGCGTAACGTGGATTAGCGGCGAGCGCACCGTACAGCGGAGCGGTAGTGTAGATGAGGTGTGTGTGTGCGGCGACGGATGCAGCGCTAGCGCCAGCGCCGACGAGGATGATTGGAGTGTGCAGTATACGAACTTATGGAATACATAGAACGGGGATTTATGCATATGAGACACAGGAGAGCGTAATTTAGCAGACAGTGTAAGTTAGAACAGGCGAGGGAGTACTGTAGAAAAAGGGGCAACAAGGTACAAATCGGCAGGAAAGGTTGTGGCGGCCGTGTCGAGTTGCAGGTATCAAGTTCGTCTAGTTGGTTACTGACACGTGCGACATTTCCCAATATACCAACTACAGACCATAGTGTACTATAGAGGGAAAGGCATAAATGAAGGATGCAATTCGCCCCTTCCAAGGCAATTAGCATATTCTACAGAGGCACAACCCACCTCCCGAGTGCTTGAGTCCAGTGAAAACCATTCAGCAAAATACTACTTTTGCCTGTACAGGGAAGCGTTCCATGCAGAACACTAGCTAAGAACAATTT